GAAATGTACACAGTAAATCTCATTATCTTCTGAATTTCTGCAGTGTTATAACTTCTCTTTCATTTTTGATTCTGTTTATTTGAATTTTCTCCCTTTCTTTCCTTATTGAGCCTTGCTAGAGGTTTGTCTATTTTGTTTATTTTTTTTTTTTTGAAGAACCAGTTTTTCATTTCATTAATCTTTTGGGCTGTCTTTTTTGTTTCTGCTTCATTTATGTATGCTCTAATTTTTATTGTTTTCTTTCTGCTTTTGGATTTTGTTCTTTATCTACTTCCTTGAGGTGAGAGATAAGGTTATATATTTGGTCTCTTTCTTGTTCCTTTATATGAGCCTAAATTGCTATAAACTTCCCCCTTAGTTCTCTTTTGCTGTGTCCCATACACTCTGGAATCCTCATTGTCATTTGTCTTAAGGTATTTTTTGATTTCCTCATTGACTCAGTGGTTTTCAGTAGTATGTTGTTTAGTCTCCATGAACTAGAGGTTTTCCCTACTTCCTTTTTGTAGTTGATTTCTAGTTAGGTACCTTCATGGTCAGAGAGGTTACTTGGAAGATATCAGTCTTCATGAATTTATTGATATTTGTCTTGTGGCCCAATATATATATATATGATCAATTTTGGAGAATGTCCCAAGTAGGCGTCAAAAAATTATAGTACTGCCTCTCTGGTGGCGCAGCAGTTGAGCGCTGGGTTGCGAAGCTGCCCGCAGCCTCTGCAGCACCAGTTCGATCCCCGACCACTGAGCGAGGGTCCCAAATGGCGCGCAGACATCTCCTGCCACCCCCGCTGCTCCCCTCAGCAGTGTATTTCATCGGTCTGCCTGTTCTGCTCTCCTCTCTGGCTCTGGTGAATTCTCTCACCCTCCCGCACTTCTGACTGTACCCAGTGCTTGTATGTATGTATGTATGTATGTATGTATGTATGTATGTATGTATAAATAAATAAATAAATAAATCTTCAAAAAAAATTATAGTATTTTTTGGAGGGTGGGGTGAGCACAGGGTTCTATAAATGTCTGTTAGGTCCATATGGTTTAATTCTTTGCTTAATTCTGTTATGTCCCTTTTCATTTTTTGTCTTGTTGATTTGTCCATCTTTTTCCAGTGTTTGTTTTCTGAGTTGATAGTAGTTGCCTAATGTATTTTTGTGCTCCTTCATTTGCCAAGTATATGTCAATAAGTGTTATGTCCCCTGATATATTTTTCCCTTAACCACTATGTAGTGTCTATCCCTTTCTCTTGTTATCTCTTTTAATTGGAAATCTGTTTTCTTTGATATGACTGTCCCTGCCATCCTTTACATCCCATTTGCTTGCAGAGTTGTTTTCCAACCCTTTACCTTGAACCTATTTTATCTTTGGAGTTTAAGTTTGTCTCCTAGAGACAGTGGAATGTTGGATTCTGTTTCCTCATCCTACCAGTTACTCTGTCTTTTAATTGGTAAGTTTAGTCCATTAACGTTTAGAGTAATTATTGATATATGAAAGTCTGTTGCTGTCATTTTGTCTTTAATTTTGTGATTATATCTAGTTTTTTAGTTCTTTTTGGTGTTTCTCTATTTGGCTTTGATACTAGAGTTCCTTTCAATATTTCTTGATGGGGGGGGGTATCTGGTTTTGCAAGCTCATTTTGTTTTTCTTTGTCTGAGAAGGCATTTCTTTCTCATATCTAAAGGAGAGGCTTGTAGGAAATATTTTTGTTTGCCAGTTTTTAATCTTTAAATTTTTTGGTCATGTCTTTTCATTCTCCCCTTGCCTTCAGTGTTTTTTCTGAGAAGTCTGATGCCAGCCTGATGTGGGTTCCTTTATATGTTATCTGCTTCTTCCCTCACTTCAACTTCAGTATTTCTTTGTCTTGAGCTTTTGGAAGTTTCACCACTGTACATCTTTGTGTTGCTCTCATTTTATTTAGGTGCCCCAGTGTTCTTTTAGCTCCCTGGATTTTTTTTTTTTTTTATTTCCTTTTCCAGGTTTGGGAAGTTATCTATTTTTTAAATATATTTTTTGTTCCTTTTTTATTGCCCTTCCTCTTCTGGGGTACTCATCATTTTTATATTGGCTTTCCTTGTGGTATCAGATGGTTCATGAATTGTTTTTCTTTTTCTTTACTTCATTCTTCTTTTTCTTCTTCCATTTTACTTCTTTGTAAATTTGTATCTTCACATTCACTGATTCACTGTTCCATTTGCTTTATTCTACTTCTGTAGTTTTCTATAGTATTTTCCCTCTCATCTCTTTTTAATGTTCTTTCTTCTTTTTAATCTTTCTTCTTTTTAATCTTCCTTAAGAGAATCCTTTTCAGTCTTCTTTTCGTTAATTTTCTCAGGACATTCATGAGTTTTTCTGTGTTTTCTTAGATATCCTTGATATGCTTTTTCTGAGTTTTCTCTAATTTCTTTATGGTGGCAAGCTTAAATTCTGTGTCTGAAAAGAGAAATAGGTCTTCCATGTCTTTACAATTAGGTTCTGAAGATTTGCTCTTCTTTTGTGGTATATTAGGACTACTTTGGCCATTCATTGTGTTAGTCTGTCTCCCTGTTGCTTTTAGGACCTTTGTGGCTTTGGCCTCTGCTAGGCATGTCTCCACCCCTACTATACCAGGGTGGGGCTCTCACCAGAGGCCGGCTGGGGGTCACTGATACTGTCAGGTGGTGCTTGGCAAGGCCAGACAGTGGCCTTCACTGGTTCTCTGGGTGCTAGTGGATGTTTCCAGGGTTCTGGCACAAATCTGGGACCTCACTGGTCCAGTGTGTGGCTCTTGGGGACGCTTGAGAGGTCAGAACACCTGGGGCTACTGTGGCACTTCCTTGGTGTGAGTCAGGGCCTCAGTGGTCCCAGCAGCTGACTGGCTGTGTCTCCTGAGAGGTCATAAGGTGGGGGGCCGCTCTTGCACTTCCCTGGTCTGAATCCAGGGCCTCACCAGTCCTGGTGGGCAGCTGGCTGGGTTTCCTGTGAGATCACTGGTACTTCCTTGGTGTGAATTGAGCACCTCTGTCATTGTATTTGAACCCTTTCCAATTCTTCTTAAACCTGAAAGCCAAGGATCTCAAAATTAGGAACCATGTGCTAGAGAAAACCTGGTTTAGGATTTGGGCTTGTGGATGGTGGTGGCAGAGGGTTGGGGGCAACAGAAGGAAGGCTGGTGAGATAGTTTGAGAAGTGGGCCCACTGAGGAAGGTGAGGCAGAGCCTCAGGGTCAGCAGCCAGACGGCCTGGGGCCTAGGGTTAGGCTGTAAAGGATAGGGCACATGTGAAAGTTCAAAGTAGAAGAATTAGACCCTTAATAAATGGCTTTGGCATCAAGATAAGGAGTAGGAATCAATTCCAGACCTGAAGATGAGAAAGAATTCTAAAAAAAATCCACATATGAACAAACCACCACCTTTCTTAGTAAAGTCGATCCAGTCTCCAGTATCGGGTCTATTCACATGAAGACAGCCTGGACTTTGCAGCACAAATACGGCTCCCAGATTCCGTCCCTCAGCAACCACACCAGGTTCAGGGTGTTACGTTCCTGTGGGTTATGTTGGCCTGAGATGCCACTACAGGCATCTGTGGTAGAAGTGAGTGATGGAAATCACTGGGGTTAGGAAGGACTATACTTCCGGAATCTGATGAAAGGTGTGGGATTTCTCTTCAGAAGGAAGGTACCAAACATGTATCAGAGGGGGGGAAAAGATTATACTATTTAACCTGCCCAGAAAATGGTTTATGGCTAGTAACTCCTGATTGAGACCTGTGGTGTCTGCAATTCCTTGCCCATTTGCTCCGTTACCTATTTAATGCTTTCTGTAATTGCATCCGTTCCTATCTTAGCTGTGCTACGGAGATTTGGGCATGGAGTTTTCACATGTGAGCCAAAATATTAATGGGAGGGAGAACAACACTGAGGCCATGGAACTGGTAGTGGCAATAATTTGAGAGAGATCCCTGAGGAATGTTGAGGTGGGCTAAGAATAATTCCAAAGTCTAGCAACCTCTTCTTTTTCTTCCCGTAGTAGGACCTAAGCTTTATTTTACTAACCCAAAGCAGCCCCTTTATGAATCATGCAGTGAAATACTTGATACTCCTGTTGTTAGAGCATCATCCAGTTCCCCAACCTGACTGGCCTGACCCTCATGCAGTGGGTGAGGGTCTGGCCAGGAGAGGGTAAGGCGGGGAGTAGGCAAAATGACTTTGCTACTACAGCCTGTATTTCCCTGTGGTTGCTTGTTCTGTATCATTAATTTTGCTCATTCCCTGTGGTTGCTTGTTACTGTATCATTAATTTTGCTCATTCATAACCAGTGGCAGGCCCTCTGACTGGATCTAGAGGTATTCAATATGTAAGACTGAATTTAGGGAGTAATTACCTGGATAAGTCACTTCGAATAAAACCTTACTTGCCATAAATTTTAGGTCCTTGGAAACACTGTACCTGAATCATCCAGTTAGTTCTAGGTCTGCCACTTAGAAAAGAAAAAAAATTAATTCTAGCAAAAGAAGAAAATCTGTTCACAAGAAGGAATTCCCACATGTATAAATATTTAAATGGAAACAGCTATGAAATGTTTAAGAATTCTGTTGCCCTTTTTCTGCCTTTATATGATCTCTTCAAATACTGGCTTTCCTTGCAGCTCAGTTTGAGGTCTGCCCTGCCTGTGAGATAGAGCAGAACCTACTGTATGCTATTCGGGGCTATAAATGAGATAATCCTGGCCTGCCTGTAGCGCAGGGCCGGGTACATGATAAACAATATACCTGTTAGCTGCAGTTGATGAAGCGGGTGGTGTGAAGCTGTTTCTCACATGCTGTGGTCAACATTTAATCTCCTTATTCTCTGACCAGAACAAAAACCAAACCCCCTTTTTGGCACTTACTGTCTTATTTCCATAGTGAGACTGTCAGCACCTTCATGGGAAAGCACAGGCCTTAGAAAACTTACCACATTGGATTGAAAATTGTCATTTGCTTGCTCTCAAACCAAGTGGTCTTCATTTTGAATTTGTTTTCCTCCACAGAAAATGAAAACATTAGCAGAAAGGAGAAGGAGCGCCCCGTCTCTGATCCTGGACAAAGCCCTGCAGAAACGGCCTAGCACCAAGTAAGTGAAAAGCTGCGTGTCATGCACTTGGTGTGTGCTATTTTTTTTTTCCAAGATTTATTTATTTATGCATACAAGAGCTGGTGTACAGGCCAGAGATGTGGGGGGTGAGAAGATTCACCAGAGACAGAGTGGGGAGCAGAACAGGCAGACTGACTGAAATACACTGCTGAGGGGAGCAGCAGGCGAGACAGGAGAGGTCTGCAGCACGAGCTCGATCCCTGGCCAGCCAGGGAGCAACCCACATGGCACTGCAGACCTCTCCTGTCTCGCCTGCTGCTCCCCTCAGCAGTGTGGGGTTCGTGTTTCTACTAGCACAAGAATTCTCTGTTTAATAATAGGAAATATGACTTCTGAGGTAATAGGGCCTATTTATGTGAACTCGAAAGCATTTTAGAGCCTGGTGTGCATGTCAGGTGCTTTAAATTGAATCAGAAGTGAATCTCAGAATACATAGCATACAAAAGTGCAGGTTCCACATTTTGTTAGTTCATTTATAGAAACAAATAGAAATCAAAATACTGACAAGGAAGTGGTTTTAACCACCCTGCTTGTTTAGTTGTGTACAGAACTTTGCTTATTTATTATCATGAGGTAATGCCTGTGTGTAGTTAGGGTAATTTTTTACCAAGTTTAGATATGAACATGGATAACCACATTAAGAATATTAAAAATGAAATACTGATTCCCACTAGGCATTATTGGTTAAAGTAATTAGTGACATTTGATAAGCTAAACTAAGCTAAACGAATAAGCTAAACGACTATTGAAATGGCCATTTCTTCTGTTGAGGATAAATAGTATTTCAGTGGACATCTTAAGAAAATCATTCATAAAAATTGAACGGCTATCCAATCACTAATTTTTTCATTAACTTTTTTTTTTTTAAGATTTATTTATGCATACAAGAGCTGCACAGGCCAGAGGTGTTTGGGGTGAGAGGATTCACCAGAGACAGAGTGGGGAACAGAACAGGCAGACTGACCAAAGTATACTGCTGAGGGGAGCAGCAGGCGAGTCTGGAGAGGTCTGCTGTGCCATGTGGGTTGCTTCCTGGCTGGCCCGGAATCGAACTCCTGCTGCACTGGTTGCAGATTGCCTCATAGGTTGCATCGTAACCCCTTGTGCCACCCGGGAGACCCTCGTTCATTAACTTTTAAATGACATTTCACACTCTGTGGCAATTTTATGTCCCAAAAAGTCCTGGGATGACTGCTCCCCAACTGTGAATCCTTCTATGTAAATTGAATTCCTTATCACCTTTATTTAAAGTGAGGATCTATCTGATGTTTCTGTGAATGATGTGCTAACTTACTATGTGAAGGCATGGCATTTTCTTCTGTGCCAAAACCAAATTATATAGCCAAATTCCAGTTATTGAAACTTTCAAAATACTTGGGTGGCTCTCTTCCCAGTTTCAGCAAGTTCCCAGTCTCAGGTAACCCCCCTGCCTACCCTTCAAAGACACAAGCTTCAGTCGGTCAGGAAATACAAATTACTTTTAATAGATGCCTAATCAAAACTGAATCCGGAACATATTCTTCTGCCAAGTAAATAATACAGTAATACATTTCAGTGCCATGTATAACTGACTTGGATTATTCGCATTAGTGAGGACAAAAGAGTTTGTCCACAGTTTGACCTTGACTGTCTAGAGAACTTGGAAAAGTGATTTTTAGGAAAGGCAGAATTGCCAGTACAACCATCTTTAATGCTACATATGTAAAAGAAGCTTTATTATCCACTTTCTATAAAACAGATAAACTTGTAGGTAAAATTTTATATTGGAAACATCTGGGTTGGATGTGTGTTACGGTTTTTGATTTAAACTGGCCTCTCGATCAGAAACTTTAGCCTGAGGTCAGAGGTCATTAGTTGTGTCCCTTCTTCAAGTAAATAGTACAGTAATACATTTCAGTGCCATGTACAACTGAGTGAGAGCCGCTAATGTATGTGGGCACTGAAGTTCACATAGATCTGTGGTTCTCCACCCAGGCTTGGTAACTTCCAGGGGCGGAGGCACTTTTTAATCTTACGGAGCACTTGAGTTTGTCTCAGTGATGTAGTGGATGCTTGGCAGCTCTGCTAGCTAGCATGTAATGCCCAGGACACATAGCAATGAATTGCAGGGTTCCTGCATAGCTTTTGCAGGCTTTGTGTATGGCGTATTTGTGAAGGGGAAAAAAATCTTTGCATATATGCCTATAACCTAACTCAGTATAAATATAAACTCTTTTTATCTACTTTTAATAGTATTTCTTTTTGTTGATTTTTTTACGGAGATACCATTGGTTAACATCGTTGTTAGTATTTTGGAAATACAGGATCCCCCCCTTCAGATGTAGCTGCCATAGTGCCCCCACAACCTAAGCACCCCTAGTCTCCACCACAGTCCACTGTGCTCCCCTAACCCTTCCCCCTCTGGATACCTCAGTTCTGTCATCAGCTTTCAAGAGCTAGTTTTTAAGTTTGACTTCATCTGACCCTTAGTTTGGTTTCTTTATGTTCTACTTATAAGTGACTCCATCTGGTGGCTCTCTTTCTCCTTCTGGCTTAATGCATTTAGCTGTATATCTTTATATAGTTTTAATGAACACTTAATTTTCCAGAAGGTAGCTACCTTGCATATCAAGAGGTAATTGTGCTTGGTGCCATTTGGAGCCATTTCAGAAAGTCAGTCTCCTTCACCTTCCTGTACTTGCTGCATGGAATGGTTTCTTATTATCCTGCTTCTCCAATATAGGAATTTAGTAATTTAGTACAGCAGTTTCTGATTTCTGGCCCTCCTTTAAGTAGCCAGTACATGAGAGACTTCCCCTGTCCACTGGCATTTCTGAAGTCCTGCCTAGGGACAAAGGGAGAATCATTTTGTACAAAATATTCCAAGATATTGGTAGGAAATTATTTCACGCAGCAAAATGCCACAAATGCTCATGCACGTGGTCTGGAATAACCACATATATTGGCTTTCTCGTGGTATTTCTCTGGTTTACTTAAGGATGAACTCAAGTCATATGAACTTCCCCTCGGAAGTCTGTGCCTTGATGTGGCATTTAGCCCACCTCGTAGAAATCATGAAAATGTACTCACTTTGGTTTTAAGTTCAGTTGGTATTCACCTGTCTGTCTCCACCCTCACCTCCAAGTTAATTTACTGTGTGTGTGTCATTTGCAAGAATTTGCGCTGTGCACATTCGTGCATTGCCTTCTAAATCTCCACTTACTGTCACTTAGAGAAGAGCGACGCCAGTGGAGCATGTGTCGAGGCAGGGATGCGCGTGTGGAATGCAGCTGTCCATCCCAGCTCTCCCTATGACCGTGGATAAAGCACCTTAGCTCTGAGTCTCTGTGCTTCCCTCTGTACAATTTGAATCTAACGCCTGCATCATAGACTATAAAATGAGGAAATAAGTGAAAATGCCTACCCTGACGTAGTTATTGCTAGTTGCCCATTTCCATCCCTTCAGTATATTTCACCCTGACGCTTAAACCTCCTCCCTCATCTGGCAAAGTCAGATTTGTTACTGAAGAGACCTACTTTATCATCAGAACATTGTATGGCTAGAAGTAGCTGTTTGAGCCTGGCCCATTATATAAGGGAAGTGGAGAGTCGAGAACTTTCTCTAGGTCACACAGTTGATTCTAATGTTAAAAAATTCTAATGGAATTTTCTTTGCATTACACAAGAAAAAAGAGCATATATAAGAGGTGTCTAAGAGCATGAACTCTGGAGCCAGGTTCAACTCTTGAAACTGCCTCCTTGCTAACTGTGATCTGGGAAGTTTTTAAGCCAGAGGTGATAATAAAGCCTACCTCATAATGTTCTAGGAAGACTAAATGGGTCTCAGATGTTAAGCCCTTAATCTAGTCTCTAGCACATAATTGGTGCTGTATATGCAAAGATTATTATTACCACGAGTAGCTGCAATAGTAACAGCAGAAGCAGAAGTCTGCACCATCCTGGTAGAGCAGATGGGAAATAAGAAAGAGGAAAGACACAGTCTGGACACCAGCTAGACTCTAACATAAAATTCGTTTGGTGTATTTCTAGGTCTGGCCTGCAGCAAGATTGGCCCTTAACATTTTAGTTTTATTCTTTATAGACCCAGACAACTCTTTATTTAATATATTTTATTTTATATAATTCTTACATCATTTTTCATTTTTGCACAATGTATGCACTTTTATTTTGGTTATATTCCCCATACAGCTCCACCCCTCACCCCCTTATTGTGACCCTAATCCCTCCTCCCCCTCGTAGTATGTCTCTGGTTTATAGTTGCTTGTTGATTTTGATTTTTCTTTATTTTAATTAGTCTTTTTCCTGGTCCCTTATTTAGGTTTTCTAAATTTCTATGAGTGAGACCATCCGGTATTTTTATTTTTCTTTCTGGCTTATTTCACTGAGCATGATCCCTTCCAGCGCCATCCATGTTGCTGCAAATGGCATGTGTTTATCTTTTTTGAATGCTGAGTAATATTACATGGTGTATATGTACCACATCTTCTTGATCCAGTCATCTATTTTTGGGCATTTGGGTTGTTTCCATAGCTTAGCTATTGTAAATAGTGCTGTGATAAACATAGGGGTGCAGGTGCCCTTTTGAATTAATGTTTCTGTGTCCTTTGGGTAAATATCTAGGAGTGGAATTGCTGGATCACATGGAAGCTCTGTCTTTAGCAGTTCTCCATGGTGGCTGGACCATTTTGCACTCCCACCAGCAGTGCAGAAGAGTTCCTTTTCCTCTACAACCTCGCCAACATTTGTTGTTGCTAGTTTTTTTAATATGTGCCATTCTCACTGGTGTAAGATGGTATCTCATGGTGGTTTTGATTTGCATTTCCCTGATTACAAGTGATGTTGAACATTTTTTCATATGCCTGTTGGCCATTTGCATTTCCTCTTCAGAGAAGTTTCTTTTTAGCTCTTCTGCCCATTTTTTGACTGGATTATTTACTTTGTTTTGGTTGAGTCTCATCAGCTCTTTGTAGATTTTTGTC